TTTTTTTAAAGATTATTTATTTGAGAGAGCGAGAATGAGAGAGAGAGCACATGAGAGGGGGGAGGGCCAGAGGGAGAAGCAGGCTCCTTGCTGAGCAGGGAGCCCGATGCGGGACTCGATCCCGGGACTCCAGGATCATGACCTGAGCCGAAGGCAGTCGCGTAACCGACTGAGCCACCCAGGCGCCCGTGAATGAGATTCTTAAAAAGCAGACTCAGGTCCTTGGCTCTCTTATTTTTAAAGTGATTAATCAAGATAATGAGATTTGAGAAAATACTTGGGGAATTTTAAGTGAAATGAAAGCTGCTAGGTCAGGGCAAGTAAAAAGTTTAAGCAACTGATTTTACTTTGTCCAGATCCTCCGCTGTTGTAGATTACTCATGTCTAATAAATTTCTAGACAAAAGAGACCCCAGGATCTGTGAATGTGTTCTGGGAATGAAGAAGCACTAAGAGAAGGGCGATCCAGAGGTGATCGGGGAATGCACAGTCGGTGGAGAGCGCTCTGGTAAAACGAGCTCTCACCTCGAAGAGCCAGCTGAGGAGGAGGGTGAAGAAAGATTTAGATTGGAACGTCTGGGTTGAAAGAGACCTCTGAGGTGATCTCATCCAGGACAGGGTCTTCTGTAACAGCTCCGTCAGGTGGAGCTTTGGCTTCTGCCTGGAAAAGTTGGCCTCGAATCCGTGGTGGCGTGTTACGGTGGCATCCATCTTGGTACTTTTGACCTCTGCGATTTAGGGTGGGTGATGGGGAGTTTGGGGAACACTGTTTCATGTGAAAACCTTAATGGTACCCTGGTACCTCCCTCCCTGTGCGTCTTTCTCGTTTCTAACGAACCCTCCCCACCTCCGAGCCTCCACATTTCGTGAGGGATTTTAAAAACCGAAGATGTTCCTAAGAGATGCACGGGCCAGCACATTCACACCTGAACATTGTTGCCTGAGAATTTACTCAGCAGCGAATGTTTGAATGCCATGCTTAGCGGTGGGGCCCACTTGTGCGCAGGAGGACCAAGGTCCCTATGCTCATGTGGGAAGGTGGAGGGTGAGGGGGCGGGGCGGGGGGCCGTGAGGGGAGGAAAGAAGATAACTCTGTGTCCCTCAAGCTGTGGCTAGAAGACAGACTGCTCCCAGGGGACTGCCCTAGGCCCTTTCACTGCTTCTCATCTCTCACCCACATTCCAGACTCCCAGTCGAAGCTGCCAAAGGACCGGCTTTGTCAGCAGAACTTTCCGGCACAGAGCCCTATACACTCTCTGGCCCAGAGCCATTACTCCAAAGGCTTGGAACAGCCCTTTGGCCCAGTTTGCTCTCCAGACACAGCCTCATGGATAATTTGTCCTGAACCTTGAAGCAAGGGCAGAGGCTCCTTTTTTAGACGCTTCCTTTCCTCTCCATTACTGTCTTATATTTTAAAAGTCTGGGCTGGATCAATAAGTATTAAATGTATCACATACTTATAACTCCTTTTGGAGGCCCCCTGTTTGACTCTCCCTTTTCTGACCCCTCATTCCCTGCCTTATTATATCACAAACACAGGATTACCAAGGATCCATCAGAAATCTTCCCCATCTCCTGCCTCTTTCTCCTATTGCCCGCAGCATACAACTTAGCAGAGTCAACAATAGAGGTAATTCTACCAACAACAAAGAAAATAAGTGTTGTCCCCTCATCCATTTTATTTTTTTAAGATTTTATTTATTTATTTGACAGAGTCAGAGATAGCAAGAGCAGGAACACAAGCAGCGGGAGTGGGAGAGGGAAAAGCAGTCTTCCTCCCGAGGAGGGAGCCCGATGTGGGGCTCGATCCCAGGACCCTGGGATCATGACCCGAGCTGAAGGCAGACCGTTAACGACTGAGCCACCCAGGCACCCCTCATTATCCATTTTATTATGAACAAACCCCAACATGGGCCTTGAACTCCCAACCCTGAGATCAGGAGTTGCATGCTCTACCGACTGAGCCAGGCTGGTGCCCCCTCATACCCATTATCCATTTTTAAAGGCCCTTCTTAGACATCTGAAAACTATGGCTTACACCACAGTCCTTCATCACCTTTTGAAGCCAGGAACTAGAACTTGGGCTCCTGCCTAATTTGTTGCTTAGGAAGGGATGAGAGCTGATAGTTCTTGGTTGTCTGGATGCTGTTGATCAGTAAGAGGATCCTGGTCAACACAAACACTTTTCCAGACTCAGCAGAATCCAGTTGGTTCTGCCACAGCATGTTCTGGTGGCACCTTAGACCAGGTAGAGTTCAATAAACTTCCTTGAAATCTAGGAATTTACAGAGGTTGGAATTGCTCCCTCAAATGCTAGAATGTCAAGAAGTCGACCCCTAGCTCTGGTCCTCTTCTTCACTGAGAGTAATTTATCTTTTTTTTTTTAAGATTTTATTTATTTGAGGGCGCCTGGGTGGCTCAGTTGGTTAAGCGACTGCCTTCGGCTCAGGTCATGATCCTGGAGTCCCGGGATCGAGTCCCACATCAGGTTCCCTGCTCAGCAGGGAGTCTGCTTCTCCCTCTGACCCTCTTCCCTCTTGTGCTCTCTATCTCTCATTCTCTCTCTTTCTCAAATAAATAAATAAAATCTTTAAAAAAAAAAGATTTTATTTATTTGAGAGAGTGCACACAAGTGGGAGGGCAGAGGGCAGAGGGAGAGGGAGAAGCAGTTTCCCCACTGAGCAGGGAGCCCAACGCAGGGGTCGATCCCAGGACCCTGAGATCATGACCCAAGCTGAAGGCAGGCGCTTAACTAACTGAACCACCCAGGTGCCCCAAGAGCAATTTATCTTAATAATCAAAGAGTAGCACATTCAGGTGGACTCTGTTCCTGCTTGGGTTCAAATCTTACTGTTCAAAATTCGCTCTTAACAGTAAATAATAAGGGATGAGGAAAATGGGTTAAAAACGATCCACAGGACCCTCTGTGAAAAAGGAGCCAAAGATTACAGAACTTTAGAATTTTTGAGTTTTATGACCTATATTCCCACACCTTCCTTCTGGAAGACAGTTTTTTGGAGAACTGGGGGCCAGAAACACGTTACAGAACTGATACTTCATGGCTCTGGAATAATAACTCCTCTGGGGCTGGATCTCTGTCAGCTCCGCAGTCCTCCTAGTTGCTCAAATCTTACCGAAGTTAGGATATGTTCAGGGGACCCCGGCTCAAATAACCCAACGTTCTCTTCCTCTCTGCCCTCCTCCAACTGGGAGGTGTTAGTAGTATTGCCCAAGGCTTCCCTGGAGTGGCTGGAATTGTTTCTGCTGGGGGAGACACTCCGCAGCCTGGGCTCTGGGGGACTGAGGCAGCGTCAGCTAGCGTGAGTGCGGGGGGCCCGGGAACATCTGCCTTACCTGGTTTGTTTTCGAGAGTTAAAGAAGCTGAGGGTAAGGGTCTCCTGAGAATTTCACTGAAGAGGAAGAGGCCGCAGGGAAACCACTGAGGGGGAGAGATTATTCAAGGTGAATAACCAAGAGTGTAGGGTAGATATTCTGGGGCACCAGCTTTTCCAGAACACAGCCGAAATAGCTGGTTTTAAGTGATGACTTTCTTCCTAGTTGAAAATTCAGGGAAGGACTGGCAGGTATGCTTGCTTAAAAAGAGAGGAATTGTTGCAGAACTTTTGCATCAAAAAAAAAAAAAGACTAAAGCTGAAATTTATTCTTTTAGTCTCTTTTGGATCCTCATCTGGGAGCCCCTTAACTTCATCTAAAACCTCTTATCTCTTAAAGCTACCCTTATTTGTCATTTCTTAGCCTGAACCTTTGTCAGAAACATCAGTCTTGACAAGTAGGCTGGGGGGCACCTCCTCCCAATGGGGCTCTAGGGAGTGACCGCTTGTCTGTGACATTCATGCTCCAGCCTAATGCCTTCTGTTGAGGGAGCTGGAACTCCCCGGCAGCCTGGGCCTTGTCGGGGCCATGAGAGGTTGGGGACTGACCCTGCGGGCCTCAAGCTGAGGGCTTTCTGATGGACGTGGGACTCTGCTTTGCAGCTTGAAGAGCTATGATGGCGGTCAACAAGGGCCCAACCTTGCTGGATGGAGACCTCCCTGTAAGTAGCTTGAGAAGTGGGGGGACCACTGAGCGGGGGAGGAAGGAGCAGGGAGGAGAGGTTCAGGGGACTCAGAACAAGTTATGTCTAGATTATATTCCTCTTCCATTGGCCATTACGTCTTTCTTTTTTTTTATTTTTTTTAAAGATTTTGTTTATTTATTTGACAGAGAATGAGAGAGAGAGGCGTCTTTCATTATTCTTGCCCTCAGTACCTTTTGCAGGGGGCTCTTAGAGGAGGGGGGGTGCCTACCGAAAACTGAGCACCTCGGAAGAAAAGAACAGAAATATTGGCTGAGTTGGTAAGGAGAGGAAGGGAACTACTGTGTTTTAAACCCTGATGCAAATGCACCTGCTTTGTCCGCCCAGGCGGGATGTAGATTCAAATGCCAAGCTGCTGCATTCTGTAACTCCGGGGTGTCGTGCGTGTTCTAGAGTATGTGAATGGCACCTCTCGGGGTTACACGGCACACAGCCTGTGCCGCATATGGGAAAGGGTTAGAGGAACATTGTTTCCGGGGTTTTGTGTCTAGCCTGGTTTTCACTGTGACTTAGAGTGGTGTGACACCTTTAGGGGTACCTGACCCTTCCAGGCAAGGCCTCTCTGATTTAGGCACAGTTCAGATAGTGGGTGAAACTTAAAAACTGTGAGCCCATATAATGCCCATCTTGTCCCAAGTTAGGCTTTAGCTAACTTTTGCACTTGGAATCACCACCAAGTTTTATATTAAATCATAGAACACAGAGGCATAAAATGAACCAGTGCGTCATTAACCCATCCTAACGGTTGGTGGTTTATTCCCTTCCCAGGACCTCTCTCTCCCTCTTTGGCTTTGCCTACAACAACCACCGAAGGCTCTGTCCAAATGTTAAAGAAAATACTCTCTTGTTTACAGTCAGATTCTTTTTCTAGTTCAAATTTCAAACTCGCCTTCAAAATGAAAGCTAAGAAATTGTAGCCTGCTGTCATAAGTCTCCTTGACGGGTCTCCTAACTCAGCCGACAAATGGAAGAGACCAGGTCCTCACCTCCAGAGCAGAACCCTGCTGCAGGGACGTAGTCAAACTGCAGAGAGCCCTGGCGTCTGAGTCAGGACCTGGGGAGCTTTCTCTCTTCACTTTTCATGTGGAGAATTCTTAGCCTTCCTGAGTGGACAGAAAAATATTAATACCCTTCACTAGCCACGACAGCCGTTAATCAATCCTGTGGCCAGTCCTGCCTCATCTGCGCTCTCCTTTATCCCCAGACCTTGCGATATTTTGAAGTGAATCTTGCAGAGAGGCCATTTCAGGCCTGAGTTGGAATCCTGACTCTGTCATTTACTAGCTGTGTGATCTTGGATAGGCCACCTCACATCTCTGGGTCTTTGTGTCCTCACCGGCAAAGTGCTAGTGCTGACATCAGAGGGTCACTGTTAGAATTCAGTGAGGTCTTGTCACCCAAGCACCCCAATCAGTGCCTGGAGTAAATATTTCCTCGTGCAGGACTAGAATCCACATTCTTTACTCAAGGACCAGTGTTTGTTCACTGAAATTCCCGGGTGACCTTAAGTTTCATTGTATGGCTGCATTAATAAGAGCACAGCACCCCAAAAATGAGAAGTGGCAAGTTCACTATATCCCACATGCTTAGACCACACCTGGAATGCTGTCCTCAAGTTGGAGTGCTGTATGTTTAAGAAAGACAACACTAAACTGTAGCCTAGCTAGAGGGGACCACCAGACCAGGGCGGTAAGCTGAGCTAGGATCTGGAGCTATTTAGCACGGAGGAAGGACCACTAAGGGCAGACATATTGCCTTCAAGTATGTGAAGGGCCAGCCCATGAATGATGAAATAAATTTGCTCAGTGTTGTTCCAGAGGGCAGAGGGTGGAGCAGCGGGTGAAGGCACATTGCAGCTCAGCAGCGCTGTCCAACGAGGGCCACAGGCCACTCTGTGAGGGGCAAGGTCCATCCAAGGAAGTGTGTCCATACAAGCCTGCCATGGAGGGGAGGAACGTGGGGGGATGGGGTCACTAGGTGATGGACATTAAGGGGACACGTGATGTAATGAGCCCTGGGTATTACCTAAGATTGATGAATCACTGACCTCTACCTCTGAAACTAATATTATATATTAATTAATTGAATTTAAATTAAAGAAAATGAAGAACTTGAGAAAATTTTTTAATTAAAAAAATTAAAAAATAAATAAATAGAAGCCCTCCAGAAAGACTATGGGAAGCTCTTTTGCTGCAGAGGCTCCTGGAGGCCTAAACTTCTGTGATTCTGTGCAGTTGGGCAGATCTCAGCTTACCCCTCCTAGGCGCAGCCCCGACCCATTCATTTATTCAGCCAGCATTGCTGCCCTGGAGCTAGGCACTGGGAGAGGGACGAGTACACACACTGTGCTCAGTTTTCGGTAGGGACCCCCCCTCCTCTAAGAGCCCCCCGCAAAAGGTACTGAGGGCAAGAATAATGAAAGACGTAATGGCCAATGGAATGAAGTGGTGGCTGCTGATGTGAGGAGAAGGGTCAGGAAGCTTCCCAGAAGCAGTGATGCTCAAGCTGTGTCGTGAGGAAGCAGCATTCTGCCAGATAGACGGGTATGGGAGGGAAGGGGGCGCATGCACAGGCAGGGGACCAGCCTACGCAGGCAGGGAGGCCGTGTCCCAGTATCTCAGCAGAGCTCGGATTGAGCATAGCAGACTGGCTCTGGTTTTTCCTGTGGGCCATCCAGAGACCTCTGTGGCCTGGGTTCCTCCTAGGTTCTTGGGACACAGGCTAGCCTCCCCAGTGGGCTCTGTGACCCAGGGCTGCCTTCCCGCGAGGTAGGAGCATGCAGGGAACACCTTGATTGCCTGCCTTCCTTCCTTCCGTGCCAGGAGCAGGAGAATGTGTTGCAGCGGGTCCTGCAGCTGCCGGTGGTGAGCGGCACCTGTGAGTGTTTCCAGAAGACCTACACCAGCACCAAGGAAGCCCACCCGCTGGTGGCCTCTGTATGCAATGCCTACGAGAAGGGTGTACAGGGCGCCAGCAGCCTGGCGGCCTGGAGCATGGAGCCGGTGGTCCGCAGGCTGTCCACCCAGTGTGAGTCCTCCGGTACTGGCAGGCCACCGCCTGTCTATCTGTCTGTCTGGTAGCTTGCTTGTCTGTCTGCCGATATGTCTGTGTGCCTTTTTGGCTGTCCGATGGCCTTTCTAGCCACCTACATCCTGTTACATGATCTTCTCCACAGCTATAGATGATACAGTGAGAGACGGCTGTAGACACAGGTACAGATATGGATGTACATCTCTCCCCATCTGTAGATGTCCCATCTACAGCCCAGTTGGCATTTTTCTGGGATGACAATGATGGGCCAAAGAATTGGCAGGGCAAGGGATGGGCAGAGCTGTGTGGGCAGTGGTGGGAGTGGGGCTCATGGTAGACCAGATGCCCACTTTGGCCCCAAATCCAGCAGCAACAGTAGGAACTAGCAGAGTCTGATACAGAAGCAGGGGCAGCAGACTCTAGGTCTGGCCCGGCAGAGCCTGGGGGGGCAGGGGTGGGGTGGGCGGGAAGGCATCCGGGCCCAGCAGCGGAAAGCTAGCAGCCTGGGCCCTGGAGGTGGAGAGCAACTCCATACGGGCCCTACTACCCGACCCAGCCCTACTCAAATTGTTCTGCCCCTTTTGAAAATATCGTCTCCAAGGAAAGACTCTCTCTCTCTCTTTTTTTAAATTCCAGTATAGTTAACATACAGTGTTATGTTAGTTTCAGCCACACAACATAGTGATTCAACACTTCCACACATCACCCAGTGCTCGTTATGACAAGTGCATCCAAGGCAAGGCTCTTGACAGGGCTGAGGGAAATTCCAGCAGCACCAAGAAGTCTAGGACCTTCCACCATCCTGATTAGAAAATTATGGGTGCGTGAGGATTCTGCCTTGGGCCAGCCTCCTTGCCTCCAAACTCCTTCAATAACTTCACTGGGTCTCATTTTGCCCAGTCAGAAGATGGCCCAAGTCATCTGGGCTCTCTGCTGCTTGAGAATTTTGTGAAGAAATGTAAGCTATCTGGAGAGAGAATATATGAAAGCATAGAGAACTGATCTCCATGATCATGACTGCAGAGCTCTGTCTTCAGCAGCCCGTACCTCCTAGAAGCATCTACGTACTCTGGTACTTGCCCCCCTCCCTGGGGGCAACTCCTTTCTCTTCCCTGCCACCCTCTTCCCACCGTTGATTATCTTACTCCTAGAAGGTAGAAAGAAGGACATGGACAGTCCGGGGCCCGGGCCGGCTATGGCTTGGACTTGGTCACCTCTAGGATGAAGCAGTACCGGCCCTACCCCCACAGGGCCCACCCGAGGGCCCTGCTGCCCCTCCTCTCACACCTTGTCCTTCATGCCCACCCAAACCTCACCCAGACAGGGGAGGGAGGACAGGGAGGGAGAGACCAGTATTTGTTGGTGATTCACAGAGTTCCTGTCACTTCCTCCTCACCACAACCCAGCACGTTAGGCACCATTAGTCCACATTTGACAAATGGGGAACCTGAGGCTCAGGCACGCTGTGACTTACCCAAAGCCACACTCTGTAGATGCACGCACTGGGCTCTGAGTGCAGATCTGCCTGACTCCAGAGTTCCTACACAGAGGGAAGACACTGGCCTGGCCTCAAGGAGTCACAGAGGATGGGGAGCTAAAAGGGGCTGAGGAGCTGGGTGGGGAGCGACTCAGGTTCCAAGATGCTTCGGATGCAGCAGGGCTGGGGGGTTTTGAGGGCCCTGAGGTACCTTCCTTGACACAGAGGCCACTGCTAGGTCTCCATGGCTCACCCCACTGTGGCCTTCGCTTCTAGTCGTAGCTGCCAACGAGCTGGCCTGCCGTGGCCTGGACCACCTGGAGGAAAAAATCCCAGCCCTCCAGTACCCTCCTGAAAAGGTGAGCCCCTTTCCTCTTCCCTAATGTGCCCCGTACTCTATTGTCCCACCTCTCGAGAGGAGAGGGCACAGGCTGACAATGCCATGACTGTCAGCCTTTCCTTTCTATGGCAAGTGCCCTCCAAGCTTGGGGGTGGCCGCCTGCCCCTAAGGCCACAGTGGGCTTAGTCCTCTCCCTGTGGTGCCAGATGGAGGCAGGCTTTCTGGAAAGCAGGCACAGCCCAGGGGCTAACTCAAACAGGGGCTTGGGGTGGGTCCCACTGCTTCTAATCCCATGATCCCCCTTCCCCACCCCAGGATACCCAGTGGGCCGGCACTGGACCACTTGGTAACTATAGTCACCTAAGATCAGGGGCCACACTCATCAGAGCTCAGGATTGCAGTCCCATGTCCTCAAGATCCAGCCCTTTGTGGACCAGGAGACTGAAAAAGTCACTTTACCTAGCTGTATATTCATTGGGTATTTGCTAGATAAGGGCCATGTACAGGCGCTTTTGGGGAATAAGCTTCATCTCACTGACCAACTATGTACTCATCCCACAAACATTTACTGAGCCCGACAGGGGTTGCCAGGGGCCACAGTGCGATTTATGGAGCCCTCCCATTTAATCCTCTTGTCAACCGTCTGGGACAGGGTGGGTATCCCCATTTTACAGATGAGAAAACTAGTGACTTCGCCCTGGGCACACAGCCTTCAGTGGAGGCCACATGAGAGCAGGTCTGTTTGGCTCCGAGGCCTGTGCTCTTCACATTTTTCCAGATGAAGGGCATCTATGTCATAAGAGAGCTCCCAGACTATAGGAGAGAAAGATAAATTATTTCAATATGGAACTGGTAGGAAGATCAGCCACATCTCTGAATCAGTCTAAATGCAGATGGGAATGGGAGCATGTTCTGAGGGAAGGACAGACAAGACATTTGAGGAATTTGGGAGTGGTTGGTTAGGAAGTGGCCAGGAAGAAGTGAGGTGCAAAGAGGCCAGGAGATCCATGCACAGGGAGGACTGGAGCCCTTTCCCCTTAAAGCTCGGCTTAATCGAGGGGTCCAGATATTGGTGCCCCTCCCCTGGGCCTTTATTTTATTTTATTTTTAAGTAAGCTCTATGCCCAGTGTAGGGCTGGAACTCATGACCCTGAGATCAAGAGTCACACGCTCTACGGACTGAGACAGCCACATGCCTCTCTCCTGAGCCTTTAAATGAGGCCCACCTGGAAGCTGGGCTCAGGGCTACCAGACCCACAGGCCTGACTCCCCTCCCCATCTCCCCCAGATCGCCTCTGAGCTGAAGGACACCATCTCTACCCGCCTTCGCAGTGCCCGGAATAGCATCAGCGTGCCCATCACCAGCACTTCGGACAAGGTCCTGGGGGCCGCTCTGGCCAGCTGTGAGCTCGCCTGGGGGGTAGCCAAAGACACTGCCGAGTATGCCGCCAACACGCGAGCCGGCCGGCTGGCCTCTGGAGGGGCTGACTTGGCCCTCGGTGGTGTTGAGAAGATGGTAGAGTTCCTCCTCCCTTCAGCCAAGGAAGAGTCAGGTATCTACCATTAGGGGGGCTGGCAGACCCTTCTTGGGAAGTGAGTTGGCTGCCCATGCTGCCTGAGTTGGCTGCCCATGCTGCCTGGGAATTAGTAAGAGGCAGCCAGGGCTCAGCCGGCCACGGCTCTGGAACAGGGAAGGCCCAGAAAGTTTTCCAGAGGGATCTATCCTAATTTAGCCTCCTCTCCCCATTTGTGAGTGGGGAAACTGAGTGACCTGAGTCACCAGCTCCACTTGTGGTAGAGCTCGGGTAACCACTTTTCAACCCTAGACACAACTTCAGCTTCCCCAGCACCCCCTCTCTCTGATCAGCTTTCCTTGCTTTCCCCCCAAATCTCATCCAGCCCCTGCTCCAGGACAGCAGCAGGCCCAGAAGCCCCCCAAAGCCAAGCCGAGCCTCATGCACAGGGTTGGGGCCCTGGCCAACACCCTCTCTCAACACACCTTCCAGACCACAGCCCGGGCACTGAAGCAGGGCCACGCCCTGGCCATGTGGATCCCAGGTGTGGCACCCCTGGTGAGTGTCTGCCCAGAGCTCTGGCTGACCCCTAGCCTGGGTCCCTCCCATCCCACCCAACTCCACCTCTGGTCCTAGGAACATTCTCTCCTCCAGCTTGGGCTGGGACTTTTGGTTTAAGGTCAGGAGGCCTTAAGGGGGTGGAGGGCCAGTCCTCTGGGCTTCAAGGAGAAGGGAAAGGACAGGTTGTGAGCCGAGGACACTTCTGTATCTCTCCCTCTCCCTCGGAGTCCTACCCCCCAGCATTCATCCTCACAAGGGAGCTTCTTGCGGTGGGCCCTCCCACCTATGCGGGAGCAGAGACCCCTAGCTGCTATCCAGGGACCAGAAGTGTCGCCTGTAAGTAAGCAAGGTCCCAAATGCCTTCTGCTGGGGAGAGAGTGCTGGCTGGGCTGCATCCCTGACTCTGACTGCCCACAGGTTTTAAAATTGCCCCTTTAGAGTTCTAATTTGCATCTTACTTGCACCTAAGGTAAAGCTGTTTTTTCTAGGCCCAGGCAGGGCTAACTCCCCACCATACCCCACCCCCACTGTGTATTTTAGCAGATATAAACTGGATTTTTTTTCATAAGAACCTTTATAAGAAACAAAGGCCAAATAAAGGAAAACAAAGGAAATAAAAGTTAAAACTTAAAGCATAAAGGTCAGCAAACAAAACAACGACTTCTCAGCCATCATTTGAATAACATTTTTAAAAGCATCATCAGGCCTCATTCATTCAAACAAATGTTTGCTGAGAACCTACTATGCACCAGGTTCTGTGGCTTCAGTAGGGATACGGGAGTAGTGGTTCTCTTCTGTCCCCTGCACTGGGGGATCATTTACCCGTAGGGGCTGCGACTGACCCATGTCCCAGCCTTACGTGTAGTAGGGAGGGCCTGCTGTACTGTGCAACCTCAGGCACCCTGTTCACACAGAACATAATGGTGTCCCCTGAAGCTGTATGATAAAGAGGCCCTGTTTGGGGAGTTCCCTAGGGCTAGGAATGAGCCAGGCTGTGCCTCAAGGGGGCACCAGCCCACCTGCCCAGGTCTGTTTCCACCCATGGGACACTGGGGTCCCCTTGATTTTTTCACTCTTTAAAGATCTCCAAGTCTCCAAGGAGTATCTATTAAAGCTAAACATGCCTCCCCTGCCAAGACCCAGCAATTCAACCCAACAGAAATGAGAGCTTACGTCCCCCCATAAGACAGGTCAAAACGTTCCTATCAGGCTTTATCCTTAGCCAAGAACTGGAGACAACACAGATGTCCACCAACAGCAGAGTGGGTAAATTGTGGTGGGTCTACATGGAATATGACACAGAAGTGACAAGGAAGGAGCTATCTTGACTTGCGATAGCAGGGATGAGTCTCACAACACAATGTTGAACAGAAGAAGCTATTCGTGAAAGAAGACCCATCGCATGAGTCCATTTATATGAAGTTCAAAAATGGGCAAAACCACCCCTCTGTTGGCAGAGGTCAACATGTGGTCCCTTGGGGGAAGGGTACTGGCAGGGTGGGAGGCACCCCCACGGGAGACTTCTGGGGTGTTGAAAGTGGCCTCTGTCTTGATCTGTGGTAGTTACATACGTGTGTGCTTACAAAATGTCACAGAGCTGCACGCTTCTGATGTGCGTGCCCCAGGTGTGAGAGTGATCACTCAGTGACAAATCTGGGGGACAGTCCGCTGGGGCCTGGCCCCTGGTGAGGGCTTTTGCCCGCTGGGGCCGCCCGGTCCTCTGCAGGCGTGTGAGGCCAGCAGCTCACCGGCGCCCCCCCCCACCCCCATGCAGAGCAGTCTGGCCCAGTGGGGCGCGGCGGCCGCCATGCAGGTGGTGTCCCGGCGGCAGAGTGAGGTGCGGGTGCCCTGGCTGCACAGCCTTGCCGCCCAGGATGAGGACCACGATGACCGGGCAGACACGGAGGGAGAGGAGACTGAGGAGGAGGAGGAATCTGACACCGAGGAGAACAAGCTCAGCGAGGTAAGGCCGCGAGCGGAGGCCGAGTGGGGGACGTGGACGCCTCAAGTTCCCACAGCCCACTGAGGGGACGCGAAGCAGAGGCTCGGGGTGGGCCTCGGCCCCCAGACCCAGAGACGTAGGGCGTGCAGGCTGCGTTGTTCACCGCACCCCCAGACAGCCGGCTAACAAAGTACTTCCATGCCCTTCTCTCAGCTGACCCTCACAACAGCCCCAGAAGGTAGGCAGGGCGGAGACTGTCATCCCCGTTGTGCAGGTGAGGAAGCAGGTCCAGAGAGGGGAAGTGACCTGCCCAAGGCCACACAGCTCGGAAGAAACCGGCGCCCGCGTTCTTTCCCTCCAGTTCTGGGGGCGGTGGGGAGAAGGGCCCCGGGGCGCGCCGCCGCAGGTGCTGACCTAGCTCTGGCCCCCAGGTGGCAGCCCTGCCCAGCCCGCAAGGCCTCCTGGGCAGCGTGGCCCACGTGCTGCAGAAGGCCGCGGGGAGCACCATCTCAGCCGTGATGTGGGCGCCTGCGGCTGTGCTGGGCTCGGCGGCAAGGATGCTGCGCCTCACCCCGGCCCGCGCCGCCTCCCCCATCAAGGGGAGGGCCATGTCCCTGTCAGACGCCCTGAAGGGCGTCACTGACAACGTGGTAGACACGGTGGTCCACTACGTGCCGGTGAGTCCCACCCACCCCAGGGGCCTGGGAAGGACGGGTAAAGCAGATTGGACCCAAGGGGCTGCAGGGGGCCTCCTTTCCCCAATCTCCTTGGCACCCCAGAAACATTTTGACGAGCTATGGCCTTGATGGGGGGGGGCCCTTGCCAGCCCCAAGAGTATAGAGACGGTGGCCCTGGCCTGAGACCCTGCCCCACAGCCCCCCTTCCGACCATCAGTCTGGGGGTCCCCAGTTGGCCCAGCCCTCGCCTCAGGGCGTTTGCATGCTGCTCCCTGGGAAGGGGCTAGAAGGAGGCTTCCAGGGCACCCTGGGGGTGGGTGGGCTCTGTTCCAGGGCACAGCTGCGGCGCCATCCCAATCCTGTCACCTATTAACAAAAGGAAAAACCCAAGAGACACCAATACTGTCTCTCTGGCAGTCCCTGGGCCCCTTCCCAGAGCAAGGCACAGGTTGTGCAGGCTCCAGAAGGCCCAGTCGGGCACCCACCCTTTAGTGAGCTAGGGTTGGGGGCGGGGGTTAGTCAGTCCCTCAAAGAGGCACGCCGGGGTCTTGGCTGCCAGCCTGTTTACCTTGGGCTCCACACAGGGCCAGGCATGGGTCCCCTGACCCTGGCTGGGACCACGTGTGGGCTGTGCTTAGCGCACGGCTCAGGCCCAAGGGGTGGTGGGAAAGCCGCTGACTTTCCACGGAGCGACCCCTGAGGGAGACCCGAGGGGTCCAGGCACTTTGGGAGGGGGGGGCTGCCTGCCTTGCCTTGGGGGTCTGGGCCGAGGAGACCATGGGAGAGGGCAAGGCGTCAGCGGTCTCCCCTGCTCCCCCGCCCGCGTCCCACACCCCAGGTTGTGCTCTCCGTAAGGCCGCTCCTGGGAGGGGTGCATGCGAGGGGCCCGGAGAAGCGGTGGATGGGAGGCGCAAGGACGAGGGGCCAGGCCGGGGCCCTAACACGGCTGCCGGGCCCTCAGCTCCCCAGGCTGTCGCTGATGGAGCCCGAGAGCGAATTCCGGGACATCGAAGAGGCCGAGCGCCGGGAGGCGGAGCGCAGGGCTTCTGGGGCGAGCCCCGAGCCCGCGCCGCGCCCCCCGCAGCCCCGCGGCAGCCTGCGACCCGCCCGCAGTGCCGCGGCGCCCCCCGGCCCGGGGCCGGAGGACAGGGCGGACGCGCCCGCCGCGCCGCGCCCGGCCTTCCCCGCGGTGGCCCGCGAGAAGCCAAGGCGCAGGGTCAGCGACAGCTTCTTCCGGCCCAGCGTCATGGAGCCCATCCTGGGCCGCGCGCAGTACAGCCAGCTGCGCAAGAAGAGCTGAGCCCCGCGCCTCCGCCCGGCCGCCCGCCCGCCGCCCGGAGGGCGAGGCCCGGACCGGCTCTCCGCACCGCCGCCGAACCTGCACTTCCGAGTGAGCGGGGCCTGCTTCCAAGTAGTCCCCTGGGAACCCGAGTCTCATTCCCGCGGCGCTGCCGAGGCACGCATTATCTTTTTAGCACCGTTTTGGGGCTTAGCTGTCCGAACCTATTTTTAAGAAGCGTCAGAGCAGCAGCTTGCTTTGGCTCTATGCCTTGTTGTTCTGTTTTGTTTTGTTTTTTAACCAAAGGATTAAGCGCCTGACTTGAGCTCTCACTTCTTTAACCAACGTGTGGCCAAATGACATTTGACTGTTTCCAAAATTTAGATCCATCCTCCGTAGACAAAGATTAAGCAGGGGGCGCCTGGGTGGCTCAGTCGTTAGGCGTCTGCCTTCGGCTCGGGTCATGATCCCAGGGTCCTGGGATCGAGTCCCACATCGGGCTCCCTGCTCGGGGGGAGGCCTGCTTCTCCCTCTCCCACTCCCCCTGCTTGTGTTCCTGCTCTCGCTGTCTCTGTCTCTGTCAAATAAGAAAATATCTTTAAAAATAAATTAATAAAAAAGATTAAGCAGGAGTCTCTGATATATGTTTAAGGCTCTGAGCTCAGAGATTCCTCTGAGTATCCAGGCTCTCGGCAGACTACTTGAAGGGAGCGACAATTAGGTGCAGAAACTGTTGTATGTTTATATAAATATTACCCTCCCTTTCCGAGTACCCAGTACCCTTCACAGGGTGAATCCCGGCCTGTGCTCTGTAGCGCCACCTCCTGGCTCACAGTCACACTTCCATTTGCTTCCTTCCTGACTTCATCTGTGCGTTCACTCTTCCACCATTGCTGGCGCCCCCGTGGCGGGGGGACGACAATGGTGGCCCGTTCACCTTATAAAGAACTACATAGACCATATGTATGGACTCTGTAGTAGCCACAGTTCATTCCAAGTCCTATTTCTGAAAATGTCAATATTTGGTTAATCTAGGGAATACATACATATAATTTAAAAATTCAAATATTGCAAAAGGGTGTGTGTCTTCCTCACTGAGTTCCCCAGTTCCCCTTCACAAAAACCACCCTGCCGTCAGTCTCTCGGATATCCTTCCAGGTACAGGCTGCACATGTGCAAGACCACTTTTTTCACACAGCTGTGGGATGTGATCCTCTTTCTTCATTTAACAATACATCTTAGAGATCTTTTTGTATCAGCACCATAAATCCTCCTTGCTCTTTTTAATGGCCATGTAGTAAGTGCTTCATAATGTAGATATGCTCTTTGATTTAACTGGTTCCCTAGTGGTGGACTTTCAGGTTGTTTCCTTTTTTTTTTTTTTTTTTTTTTTGGTCCTGCAAACAGTCCTACAGTAAATGTCTGTATGCAAAATGTTTTGTGCAGATGTGTAGGTATATCTACAGGAGAAATTTATAACTTGGAATCATGACATGTGCATTTATTTTTTTTTAAGATTTTATTTATTAGAGAGAGAGCACAAGCAGCGGGGAGGGGTAGAGGGAGAAACAGACCTCCCGCTGAGTGGGGAGCCTGATGTGGGACTCGATCCCAAGACCTGGGATCATGACCTGAGCTGAAGGCAGACACTTAACCGACTGAGCCACCCAGGCGCCCCAAGAGTATGTGCGTTTTAAATGCTGTTAGATAACGCCAAGTAGCCTTCCAACCCAAACTCAGTTTTTCTTGTTATTGTCATCTGCAGCTGCACAGGTAATTACTACATCTCTGTCAGTCCTTTTAGATGTCCATATATACATCCTCCAAAGGCCCCCCTCAGACCTGTGAGCTCCCTCTTGGCCCCCACTCTGTTGCATACCTGAAAGCCCAGCTTTCTGAAACTGACTCTGGATCCTGGCAGATCTTTGGTGTAATGAGTCCTTGGCCTTGATGCTTGGGTTTGGAATTTGAGGATGGACATGCACGGGTGGACACGGCCAGGACTCAGAGCTAGCCTTGGGCACCCCACCCCACCTCTACAATCCACACCACCCCCAGCAGTTTCCTGGGGAGGGAGTGTGATCTGACAAGAGGGGCCCTTATAAGCTGATATGTCAGGGGCTACAAAGATAGAGTCCAGCCTAGCCCTGGCAGGGCTCCCGTGGGCAGTTGCTGGTGCAGTGACCTCAGGCAGAAACAGCCAGCTGTCTGGACTCACCTGCCCACGCTGCTTTCTTCCTGGAGCTTGCGAAACCACACTCCTGACAGTCCACTCCTCCATTGTCCTGTGGCTCTTCCTTCTAGACCATACCCCAGCTGGCACAACAACTGCCCTCTCAGCAACCCAGAAGAGCTGGGGCCTTGACAGGGCTGTAGCAGTGAACACACTTGCTGGCCAGGCCCATACCCCTCACCTCTTGGGGTGCTGGGGGCCAGCATATGGAATAGCACAGCTCAGGAAACAAACAGCTGAAGTTGTAAAGGTTCTATCATTAAAAATCTCTTGATTAGGTAGCAAAGTGCTCTGAGCCTGGCCCTTGAGGCTTCTGAACACTTTTTGAAGAGAAATGAGAGCAAAGTATCTCCTCGAAATGACAGAAATGTGCTTCATTGTCTGGTGTGGGACTTTCCGCTGTTCCAAGAGACATCACTTTGGCAACTCTTGCTCACGTGGTTGTGAAGGTTCATCCACACTCATCTTTGGACACTCATGACCTCGGGAAACCCTGCATGTCACACTGGGATGTCAGGGCCCCTCTTCAGAGAAATATCTTACCCCCTCTCTTCTAGTCCAGCTCACAAAATGCACCTCAACTCAATCACAACTTTTGGAGATGGAAAAAGAACCATTACCAACCACAAAATACATTTATCCATGCAGTTATTTACCACTTTTTTCTTACATAATTATTTAGGATCTTAATATCCGAAGGACTTCTGTGTCTGGAGACAGATAGCCCTGTGACTTGGCTTTCTTGCTCATTGTATGAAGCAGAATTTTCCTAAACATTTAAACACTTCATACTTAATCAAAACTTGTAAGATGCATAAATCAAATTATTTTAAATCTTGAAATGTTGGTTACAAACAAAAGTCAAATTCTCTTACATATTCCTGTAAGCCCTGAGTCAGTGGAAACTTCTACATGTCTCACCAGCACCTCACTATAGTTAGCAGGCATCCAGAGGTTCCCCTGTCTGCAGAGAGGGGACAAAGTCTGCGTGTCCTGCTGGGTGGACCCTTCTTCTACCCACCACTCAACGTAAGAGACAGAATGTGAGCGGTACCGTTAGAACGTCCTGTCTGGCTTTTCCATTCCCACCCTGGCCCTGCCCCCAGAAACCATAATCTGGAATTTTGTGTTTACTGTACCTTTGCTTTGCTTTATAGATTCCTTTCCTGTGCATATACCTCATTCCAATACTATTTCGTTTTGCAGGCTTTGAACTTTAAGTGGAATTATATGTATTCTTCTGAGACTTATTTTTTTTCACTCAAAATGAAGTTCCTGAGAGTCACTCATTTTCACTAGAGATTGTTTTTTTATTATACAAATATTGCTGTGATCTGATTGTATCCCCCCTCCAAATTCATATGTTGAAATCCTATCCCCAAAGATGATAGAATAAGGAGGTAGGGCTTTGGGGAGGTGATGAGGTCATGGGATTAGTGTCTTTATAAAAGAGGCCCCAGAGAGCTCCCTTGCCCCTTGCACCATATGAGGACCCAGCAAGAGGCACCGGCTATGAACCAAGAAGAGGGCCATCACCGGAGCATGACCATGCTGGCGCTGTGATCTTGGACTTCCCAGCCTTCAGAACTGTAAGAAATAAATTCCATTGTGTATAAGCTACCCAGTCTGTGGTATTTGGTGACAGCAGCCCAAATGGACTAAGACAAATATGTTTTATATTTAATACGTATGTAAAATTAGTATATTAATATCAAGTATATTAATTTAGTCATTTGTATTAGAATTGATTCCGTTTTGAGAGATAGAAAGCCCTAAATAACAATGTGTATTAGTCAGCCTTTGCCATAATATTGCTGCATAACAAATATCCTACAGATTGTGGCTATGACAACATGCATTTATTCTTATGTTTGTGGGTCAGCAGGGCGACTGTGGTTCAGCTCACCCCTGTGGCACTCCAAGTGGCTCTGTTCTGGCCTGTGGATCATCTGAACTTGGCTTCAGACTGTGCGTGACTTCAGTTCTGCTCCAGGTGTACTATTTCAGGGATCCAGGGTAAGTAAGGGTCAGTGGCTCTCTGGGGCATGCTCTCCCACAACAAATCACAGCCCTCTGCTTGCATCCTGTCTCCTCAGATTCCATTGGCCAAAGCGTGTCAAGTTCCCACCAATGGGGAGAGTGATCTGCTTTACTCAAAGTTCACCAATTTATATGTTAATCTCACCCTAAAATGCCCTCACAGAGACATCTAAAGTAATGTTTGACCAAATATCTGGGCAGCCCCAGGCCCAGTCAAGTGGATACATAAAATGAACCATCACATTTGCCAACACCATGCAGACCTGTCTCATGTTCATATTCTAAGCCGTCATAGTCATTCTGGAAGTCAAACATTACAGTGGTTACTTCCCGGGCAGCAGCCCTAAGCCGTGTGGTACAGGAGATGTGAGGGAAAGCAGATCTTAGGGCTCCCAGGAAAAGTTCCTTTGATCTGAAGAGTGCAGCATGATACCGTGCTCTCTTCCTCCTCTGGATGTTTTATGGTGGAAGGTGATGGCTGGGGAAAGGGACAAAGCCAGGTCCTCTGTCACACTGCCACTGACCCAACCTGCCCCAGAGCCTCCTCCCTCTTGTCTTTCAGCTGAGATAACACACAGCCTTATTGTTCAAGCCACATCGAGTTATGGTTGTGTTCCTTGAAGCTGAGGGCTTCCTAATATAGATCTATCCAGAGAGGCTTGGTAACTTCTACAGCCTTTAATTGCACTGCCTGTCTATGACAGGCAATCTTCTGTATACATAATAAATTTTGCTACTACAGCAGAGTTCAATTTTTCTTTTTCCTTTCTTTTTTTTTTTTTTTTAAGATTTTATTTATTTGCCAGAGAGAGACATAGCAAGAGAGGGAACACAAGCAAGGGGAGTGGGAGAGGGAGAAGAAGGCTTCCCGCTGAGCAGGGAGCCCGATGCGGGGCTCGATCCTACGACCCCGGGACCATGACCTGCTTAATGACTGAGCCACCCACACGCCCCCGGAGTTCAATTTTTCTAATGACATTTAACACCACAAATATGTTTTTAGATTTTAATTAAAATTCAACCACACGTGGGGCTCCCAGTGTAACCAGTCCATCAGAGGTCACGGAGGTGAAGACACCATCTCCTTGAAGTGGCTGGTGGACGTCCCCATCACCTCTCCTGGTGCCAAGTTTCCCCGGGGAATGACTACAAGATGCAATTCCATTTCACAAATGTGACAATGTGAGAAAATGTGAGTCTTAGAAATGAGGAAGCATTTTTTTTTTTTTGATGTGGGGAGATAGACATTTCTACTGTTTTTTGGGGGGGAGTTCAGGGCTGAGAGTACAAAACAGAGGTGACTGAAGACGGGACCCTGAGCCGAGGACAAGATGGCCTCCAGATGTGGGCCTTGACTTCTAAAGCATAAAATGCCATCAAGGGGATGCTTCTTTATTCTCTAGATGTGTCCTAAGTGCCTTTCTGTCACTTTGTGCCTACGATATGAAAACATGAGCCATAGTGATCCATATCCATATTTCTGCTAATGCAAAAAGGTTTTCCTTCCTTTCTTCAATAACTTTTACTGAAAACCTCTATGGAGTGACGGTGCCAGACCATGGGCCAAGGGAAAGAGACACAGGGGTAAATAAGGCACACTCCTCTCAAGGACCTCTCGGTAGGTCCATGGACCTACTAATGGCTTAGTAGGTACAAGGGACAAGTGACAATATGTGTATTATATGTGTGTGTAATATGTACGTATGTGCTTGTATATCGTAGGGCTGTGGTCTGAATGTTCGTGTCCCCCTGCAGGTTCATACGTTGAAATCCTAACCCTCAAGGTGGGGCCTTTGGGAGGTGATTAGGTCATGAGAGTGGAGCCCTCGTGGTTGGGGTCGATGTCCATATAGAAGAGGCCTCAGAGAGTTAGCTTGTCTCTTCTGCCACGTGAGCACACTGTGACCTGGACCCTCTGGGACATCCAGGAAGTGCGCCCTCATCTGACACTGAATCTTCCAGTGCCATGATCTTGGACTTCCCAGCCCCCAAAACTTGAGAAATAAATGTCTGCTGTTTATAAGCTGTCCCTCTGGGCATCTGACATTTTGTTATATCAGCCTGAATGGACTAAGACACAAAGAGAGTAAGAGTTGGAAGACATTGACCTCCAAGACATTGACTGTTCTTACCTGCCTCCTTCATACATTGTGCTCTTTATTAGTATTATTACTGTTTTAACTGGCGTGTGTTACGGGACAGGGGGGAGACCAGTGAAGAGGCTCTCCAGCGGCCCAGATGGTGGCTTGGGTGGCCAGGGTGTAGAGGACGAAGAGCTTTGCCTGGACTGGAAGCTATGGGGGAGGGGCAGTCAGGATGAGAGCAGGAGACAAGGATGGCTGGAGTGCTGCGGTGGACAGTGGAGGACACACTGGAAGTGATGTGTGGGGGCAGTCCCTTGGGCAGCACCTGCCCAGGTAAATGCAGGATGAATACCTCTGCAAGGTTCCCACTAGCTGTTCACTCAGAATAACCTCCCTAACTAGGGAGGTTGGCTGAGAACTCTACAACCTCACCTCCCCGTGGCCTCTTTCTGGGGCACTTGTCCCTCCAGGAACCCGAGGCTGGGTAGCCGTGCAGTCTACCAATAGACCAGTGGTTCCCCTGCTCATTTTAAACTGGGGGCTTCCAAGCCAGGGCTGTGGAGCCACGCCTTGTCAGGGCCCGCCTTGGTGAGGCTCCCCCAGGGGCAGCCTCCATCCTGCTCTCTGTCTGGCATGCCGGCTTCCTGGTGGCATCCACCTTCCCCCCCTCCCCCACCTCCCGGTCTTGGCGGAAAAGGGGCACAGCGACGACTCTGATGTGAGTGCAGAGGGTGCAGCCAGGGCCCATTCACACAGCGTGGAGTGGGCCCCCAGCCCAATCTCGAAAATCTCCTGGGGGATGGATCCTTCTCAGCTTTAGAGAGAAAAGCAGGGTGGAGGCTTCCTGGGGATGGGGAAGGGAGAGCTTTGCTGAGCTCTGAGGGGGCGTAGGGAGTGCTGCGAAGCGATACAGGGGTAGCAATGGCGGGAGGAGAGAAGGTCTGCACCTGAACGAATGAATTAATGAACAAACAGTAGCTTATCTTTCATCCACTGTTACTCAGAGTCTACGGTTGGAAAATCCAACCTCCCCTCGCGGAGCGAAGTCTCCTTGTTAGCTTTCGTCTTCTCACCTGTTGCAACTTGCATTGTAAGATATAGGTGCCCCGCTCCATGAGCAGGTGGGCTTCTCCAGCTCGGAGCATCAGGCGGGCCGTGGTGGTCGCCGTGTCCCCAGAATTCCCCAAGTCTGCGCTGGAATCAGAGAGCAGCGTCTGCGGCCCCGGACCACGCTGGGCCCCCCACCCCTTGGGACGTATGACCCCGCCCCCTGGCGAAGCCCCGCCCAAACCCCCGCCCCTTCAGCCCCGGCCCCGCCCCGTTTGCGGACAGACTCCGCGGCGCCGCCCGGCTAGCGCCTCCGCCCCCGAGCGCCCAGGCGGGCGGAGTTGCGGGTGAGGGGCGGGATGTTTTGGGGGGCGGGGGTCCCGATGACGGCATCGGAGCGCGCCGCGCGGAGGCTCGGAGCCTGACTGCACCGCGGGGGGACTGTGCTCCCACCCAAGCAGGTGGGTGCGGGCCCGGGAGGGGTGGAGGTCGAGGACGGGGTGGGTGGGGGGAGGCGCGCGCTCGCCCCCTCCCCGCGCAGGCCTGGGCCGGGTGGCGGTGGGAGCCGGCACCTGGGGAGCTCCCACCGAGCACGAGGAACCCCCATCCTTGCGTACCAGCCTCCTGGAGGCCCCTTCCTGGGCGGGCGAGAGCACCCCCTTCCCTAAGTCGGGGGCCTGAGGCCAGCATCCCGGGCCTGGGCGGGTGGAGCGAGCGCCGTCGCTGCGAGGGTCGGGTCCGCATTTGTAATCACTTTTCCAAACTCCGGGAGCTCCTGTCCGGTGCCCGCCTCCTCCAGCGCCCGACCGCACCGGTGGAGTTGTCCGGGCGCCCTCGGCGCGCGGCGCTGGAAGAGCTCAGGGTGCGGGGCGCGCGGAGGAGTCCACTGTATTGCGCGATGGTTACCGCTGTGTTCCCAGGGCCCGGCACCCGGGAGGGACTGGGTGAGTGAGCGAACGAACGAACCGTTACGTGTGTTGAGAGTTAGTGACAAAGTGAGGACTCTGGGCCCGGGGGTAGGGGGCGGTGTGGACTGCGATAAGAGGAGAATGGGGACGGGGAAAGTTTTTTGGATGCAGTTTCATCATCACTGTTGGGCAGCTGCTAAGCGACCGACCTTGTGCTGGGCGCTGGTGATACAGCACGAAGCGGGCCAGCAGGGTCCCTGCCTCCCAGCTCCCTCTGCAACAGAGTAGCCAGTGGCTGGTGGGAGCACCACTGGGCGCTGTGTGTGTGTGTGTGTGTGTGTAAGCCCGGGAGAGATGGAGTGTGTTGCAAGCAGAGAAAGGTGAGCAAAGGTGGGGTGCAGGAGGTTAGTAGACAAGGTGGGCAGGGCTGTTAGACTTTTGAATATCAAGGGCAGTGGGGAGCCTCTTTTGGGAGTGTTTAAGCAGGAGACTAACAAGACTGCATTTGCAGTTTTGAAAGATGCCCCTGGTTGTCCTGGCGGAGGGCACAGGGAGACTGAGAGCAGTGGTCAAGAGGTCAGTGGCCAGGACCCGGGTTTGGCTGTAGCATGGGGAGAAGCAGGTGAACCTGAGAGATACTTAGGAGATGGAATTGGCAGATCTGGTGGCGGGAATTTGGTCTCGAAGGATCTGACTGTTTTGAAGAAGGTGGGGCCGGGGGTGTGAGGTGACAAAGGCAGAGATTATGGAGACCCCGGTGGGTATCGGGGAAAAGAGTTCCCTGGTGTGGCGGTGGTGGTAGTGGGGGGGGTGTGTGTGTCCTAGGAGATGGGGTTCCAGGGGAAGGGTACAGCTAGAACACAGAAGCCCATGGGCCTATTTTGCGAGTGATGGGAGCCATGAAGTGTCACCTGTAGGACTGAGTCGGCCCTTGCAGTATTTGGGCGCGAGGCTGGTGCAGAGGACGCTCTGAACTTTAATCACCCTCCCTCCCTGCTCTCCAAGGTCAGGAGCCCCAGGATCTGGCTCCAGGTCACCTGCGGGGTGGGTCCAGCCCCTGGAGTACAGGTGCTGATGGGAGGGGCCTCTTCCTCTCTCTCTAGGGCCAGGAGGAGCCCCCCTCCCCGACATGGGGCTGGAGACCCAGAGGCTGCCAGCAGCTGAGGAGGCCCCGGTGAGGGTGGCCCTGAGAGTCCGCCCGTTGCTGCCCAAGGAGCTGCTGCATGGGCACCAGAGCTGCGTGAGGGCGGACCCTCAGCACAGCCGCGTCACCCTTGGGCGAGACCGCCACTTTGGCTTCCACGTGGTGCTGGATGAGGACACTGGGCAGGAGGCTGTGTACCAGGCCTGTGTGCAGCCCCTCCTCGAGGCTTTCTTTGAGGGCTTCAATGCCACGGTCTTTGCGTACGGTCAGACAGGATCCGGGAAGACATACACCATGGGGGAGGCCAGTGTGGGTGAGTGACCCTGCTTGAGGCCCCGGGCCCCGTGCTGAGGGGCCTCGCTGTCTCCGAAACTTCTGCCCTTGCCATTCCCTGTCGAAGGTGGGAGCGCTCGGGGAAGGAGAGCAGGTTTCCTCCTCAGATCTGCAGCCCAGTGGGGGGACCAGCCATGGCAGTAGGCTGACCAAGGGAGGAAGGGAGAGTCCTTGGAGGGGGGGGTCTTTCAACTCCAGAAACGAGGTCACACTGTGTGGTTCTGGTGATCTCGGCGGGAGGAAAGGCAAGAGAAGTCGGCTTGTATCTGGAGGTTGTCGGGATGCCTGCCAAGGGTCAGGAATCCGTGTTCAAGTCAGAGTCAGAGTAGTTGGAATGGGGACGGTCCTGGGAGAGCCATGCTTTGGCTGCCGCCTGGTGAGGGAGCAGGCAGTTCAGTGGGGCTCGGGAGCAGACTCTTGGGAGATATGCTTTGGGCCAGTTGAAGGAACTGCCCCCATTTTCACTGCCCCCATTTCTCTTGGGTTATAAAAGTATCCGTGTTTGTCATGCAAAATTAGGAAAATACAGAAAAACACAAGCACAAAAGAAAACTTACTTGATAATTGCTTTTCAGCCCCGTTAGCATTCCAGTTTCTTTCTCTGAAGAAATTATTTTGCCTTTAAAAAATGGGATTATACCCATTCTTTTATATCCTGTTTATTTTTCTTAACAATCTGTCATAAACATTTCTCTATTTCATTATTCTTCAAGCTAATTTTTTTATTTTTTTTTTCAATCTAATTTGTAAATGGTGGCTTGGCATTCTATGGTGTATATGAGATAATTTATTTAACCAGATCCCCTATTGGATCTTGGGACTTTTGCATTGTTTTGAAGTTGTGAAGAGTGCTGCTCTGAACATCCTTGGGATAAATTTAGGAGGTCCTTTAGATAACTGAGCATAGACTATGGTAATGAGCTCCCTGTCCCGGGGAGTAATCAAGCCAGGGGTATCTGATGATCTATCAGGGATGTAGTAGAAGGGATGCTTACATCGTGAAAGGAGTTGGTGGGACCTTGAGAGGTTGCTTCCAACTCTGAAATTCTATAATTCTGCCTGACCACCCTGGAGCATGGGCTGGCTCAGGCTACCCAGCCATCCTGGCCTCTGCTGTTGCCTTTATGCTGGAGCCCCAGCCTCCAGTTGCTGTCAGGGGCCTTGCGGCCTTGAGCCCTGTCCAGCTGAAGGCATGGTGGCAGGAGGCTCTGTGGTGTGTCCCCAGCTTCCCTTCATGAAGACGAGCAGGGCATCATCCCACGGGCCATGGCTGAAGCCTTCAAGCTTATCGATGAGAATGACCTGCTGGACTGCCTGGTGCATGTATCCTACCTGGAAGTGTATAAGGAGGAGTTCCGGGACCTGCTGGAGGTGGGCACTGCCAGCCGTGACATCCAGCTTCGGGAGGATGACCGGGGAAATGTTGGTGAGGAACTCCCAGGGCCTCCACTGGCTGGGAGTGGGGCTTCGCCTGCTAAGGGGTGGTTCACCTGTCTGGGAGGGGTACCTCCTAACTGGGGAACCCAAGCTCTGGAAGGTTGTGCCTTCCTGTCTCCTGTCGCCACTGAGTTCAGTATATACTTATGTACTCAGAGTGCAAGGCATTGAGGTGGGCTTGGGACAAGCTGGAGCCCCGAGGCCCGAGCCAGGATGAACAGGACACGCCACCTCCTACCCGCCGGGTGTCCCGGGCATGGCGAAGGGGCACCTGGGTCAGGAAGAGCCGTAGAGGGCCAGCCCTCTTCTGCCTGCCCTCCTGGCGGGTCAGTCCCGGGCAGCCCCTGGCCGGGGCTCACTGCCTTCCTTGCCCGCAGTGCTGTGTGGCGTGAAGGAGGTGGACGTGGAGGGCCTGGACGAGGTGCTGAGCCTCCTGGAGATGGGCAACGCGGTGCGGCACACGGGGGCCACACACCTCAACCGCCTGTCCAGCCGCTCACACACCGTCTTCACCGTGACCCTGGAGCAGCGGGGGCGCGCCCCCAGCCGTCTGCCCCGACCCGCTGCGGGCCAGCTGCTGGTGTCCAAGTTCCACTTCGTGGACCTGGCAGGCTCGGAGAGGGTGCTCAAGACGGGCAGCACTGGCGAGCGGCTCAAGGAGAGCATCCAGATCAACAGCAGCCTCCTGGCGCTGGGCAACGTCATCAGCGCCCTGGGTGACCCCCAGCGCCGCGGCAGCCACATTCCCTACCGGGACTCCAAGATCACCCGGTGAGGGCCCTGCGGCCAGTGGCCCACGGGAGCAGGGGCCCCTCTCGGGCTGCTGAGCGGGAGGAGGCGAGTAAGGGATGGGTCCCGTCTGGCTTCCGGGGCGCGCCGCCCACCAGTCCGAGGTGCCGGCCCGCGGGGTACGATTCGGGGTCCGGGCGCGCTGGGGCCCCTGACGCGCCCCACCTGGCGTCCTCAGGATCCTCAAAGACTCGCTGGGCGGGAACGCCAAGACGGTGATGATCGCCTGCGTCAGCCCCTCCTCCTCCGACTTCGACGAGACCCTCAACACCCTCAACTACGCCAGCCGCGCCCAGAACATCCGCAACCGCGCCACGGTCAACTGGCGGCCCGAAACGGAGCGCGCGCCCGAGGAGGCCGCGGCCGGCGCGCGGGGGCCCCCGCGCCACCGCTCGGAGACGCGCATCATCCACCGCGGCCGGCGCGCCCCCGGCCCCGCCAACGCCCCTGCGGCCGCCGCCGCCGCCGCCGCTGCCGCCCGCCTGGGCGCCGAGTGCGCGCGCTACCGGGCCCGCACCGACGCCGCCTACAGCCTCCTGCGCGAGCTGCAGGCCGAGCCCGGGCTGCCCGGCGCCGCTGCCCGCAAGGTGCGCGACTGGCTGTGCGCCGTCGAGGGCGAGCGCAGCGCTCTGAGCTCCGCCTCCGGGCCCGACAGCGGCATCGAGAGCGCTTCAGCCGAGGAGCAGGCCATGCAGGGGCCCGGCGGGCCGACGGTGGCCAAGGGCCAGGTGTGGCCCCGGGGAAGGAGGGAACGGGGAAGGAAGAGGTCTTCATATAGCCAGCCGTGCCCCTGCCCCTTGTCCATCAGCAGAGCACATTCCCTATTCAGAGGCAGTACTGCTGATGACCTCGATCACATTCCTTACCCTCCCCGACCCTCAGGATCTCCATCTGTGAAATGGGGATAACATTGGTATCTACCTCTGGGCATGTTCTAAGGGCCGAAGGGGTACCAAGTGCCCAGCCCAGCATGCTGTGGAGCCTCAGTAGGTTGTTCCTAATAATAGTGGTGATGTTATTATTGTTAATAAAAGTATGATTAATAACGACAAGAGATGGTGCAAATAGCTTGCAGGGGGGACCACTGGCAGGGTGGGCTCTGGAGCCCCGATTGCTGCCAAGGCTTGCAGTAGAGTAGCCAGCTGGGCTAGGGGAACTCCTGGCCGTGCAGAGGGAGGGCTGGGGTGTCCCACAGACAGGCAGGCTTGTCCTGAAGCCTCTCTCCTTGCCCCTTAGGACGAGGAAGGGGCAGTGCAGTTGCTTGCCCTGCAGAGCCAGGTGGCCCGGCTGGAGGAGGAGAACCGAGACTTTCTGGCTGCGCTGGAGGACGCCATGGAGCAGTACAAATTGCAGGTGGGGGGCAGGCTTCCTTGAGGTGAAATTCAGCTAAGTTTCCCGGGAGAAGAGGGAGTTAGCCAGGGCAGGCTTCTGACAGGGTGGAAAGAGATTGGGGAGGAACAGAATGGTGAGGGTGGATGTGCGGGATGGCGATGAGCGGGATGAGAGGTGGGACTGTAGGGGCAGCGGGTCTGGTCCCTGGAGTCAGGCCCTTTTGTCCCAAGGTGACTGGGTCAGCATTGCTCCTGGCGCCCTCTGGCGGCTGTGATTGGCATGGAAGTGGCGGACTGACGGAGGGAGGGATAGGACCTAACTGGGTGGGGTGAGTTTGACCCTGAACTAGTGCGGGGGCGGGGGGGGGGGGGTACGGGGGCCCAAGAGGTGTTCAGAGGTATTGGGCCCTTCTCGGTTTTAGCCCAGAGAGGGTCGGGTGGCCTCAGACGTGTTCTTCAGTTTTCTGGGCATCCCTGCCCTCCCCATCCGCCTCCCCCATCAGCCCCGGGAACTTGTCTTCCAGAGCGACCGGCTGCGGGAGCAGCAACAGGAGATGGCAGAGCTGCGGCTGCGGCTAGAATTGGTGCGGCCTGGCTGGGGGGCCCCAGGGCTCCTGCAGGGCCTGCCTCCCGGGTCCTTTGTGCCCCGGCCTCACACAGCCCCCTTGGGGGGTGCCCACAGCCACGCGCTGGGCATGGTGCCCCCTGCCTGCCTTCCTGGAGATGAAGTTGGCCCCGAGAACTGGGGAGAGGTGAGGAGGTGGCGAGGCCGGGTGTCTGTTGAACTGGACAGCCTCGGGCAGGGGAAGGGCGGCGCCGGGGAATGTGCCCCTCACCCCAGGCTTTCCTGGGACCAGCTGGGAGACGCCCCTTTCTAGTGCCCCTAGAAGAAGGGCCAAAATTTGGGTGACTCTGTAGGGCCGCTCAGAAGGATCTGCTGCCATTGGGCATCCCTGGTCTGGCTGCAGATTGTGGAGGTTACAGAGGGGATTCTGGCTTCTGGCTGTGGATGGGAAGCTTGCATACCTCCAGAGATGGGGAGCTTATCACCTCTGAGGTTACTCCTTCTGTTTTTGCAAGTTTACTTTTCCATGAGCCCTGATCTCCCTGAGCTTGGCTTCCTACTTGGGACCTTTTGGACAATGGCCGCTCCTGCATCTTCCTGAAAGCTCTGGGTTATCTCAGCTGTAAAAGCCCGAGGCGCAGAGGAGAGGGAGGGTGTGAGTTTGGCAGGAGTCTGTTATACACCCACCACTCGGGCAGAGTGTTGTTGGTGAGATAAAGACTTGGGTACCAATGGTCCGTATAACAGAGATAGGGCAGACTGTCACCTGAGGAGTCCCAGGTGCTGTGGGGGGGGAGCTCCTGCTCCAACTTGGGATGGGCAGGGCCAGGCATGGGGGCAGCACCAAGACTGGTGATGGGAAATGCCTGGTGGAGGGCGCCCTGGAGCCTTCCTGTCCTGAAGCCCTTGGCACTCCCCTAGCAGGTGACAAATGGCAGAGAGGCTAGAGTCACAGCAGAGGCAGACAGGCCCGGAAGCGGCTCTTCAGCTGCCTCGGAGGAGGAGGAGGAGGAGGAGCCCCCCCAGCGGACCCTGCACCTGCGCAGGTGAGTGGGACCAGCTGCCACCCAACAGAAACCACCTCAGGGCCCGGGCTGGGCTGGGGGAGGACCCCGCTGTGGTCTCAGGGTGCCCTCACCTCCATTCCTCCGTGCGGTTGGGAAGAACAGATGGGGGCGGGGGGCTTGGGACCCAGAGTTCTCACTGGGGTGAATGTGCTGCAGGGTGGGCCGAGGCTTCACAGTTCTCAGCCTCCAAGGCAGCCCTCAGTGCCCCCAACAGCCCAGCACCCCCTAAGCTCAGCCCCCTGGCCTCAGCTTTTCCAGACTAACACCCTGGGGTTCCATTGGCCCTGAGGGGATAGAAGGCCCAATGGCTTCTCTTCCTTCCTCTGGCTGGGAAGGGTACAGACTCCTGCTTCTGTCTTTCAGAAACGGGATCAGCAAGTGGAGCCAGAGGGTGGGGGCCTGCCCAGGGAGTCCACTCGACAGGAAGGGCCCAGAGCTTCACCTTGAGGAACTGGGTGCAGCCATCCCGGGGCCCAGAGGTGAGCTGGGTCCGGGGCAGAGAGGGCTCTGACCCTCCCCTCCGTGGTCCTGCACTGGCCATCCTGGGCAGTCCACACCTCATCCCTGGCTGCCCCTGCCCAGGGCATGCTGCTTCTCTCCCCCGCCACCCCCTGTTGGGGCAGCGGCCTTGACAGTGGGCTTGTTACAGTCGTTGGTGGGAGCAAGGCCCTGGCTCGACCCCGTCAGACCCCCGCTGCCATGGCCTCTGAGTGGCGGCTGGCACAAGCTCAACAGAAGATCCGAGAACTGGCCATCAACATCCGCATGAAGGAGGAGCTCATTGGCGAGCTGGTCCGCACAGGTGAGGTGGTGGGCTTTCGGGTGGGTCTCCCACCTGAGGGTGGTTAGGAGCAGGGGCCAGGTGGTTTAAGTTTGGTAACCAGCTAGCCTCTTCCAGCTGTAGGACCTTGAGCAAGTAGGATAGCGCCTCTGTGACTCAGTTTTCTTATCTCTAAAGTGGGGATAGTAATTGTCCCTGTTTTATGGGTTGTTGAAGTGAGTTAATTCAGCTGAAGTAATTAGGCTGGTTCTCGGGAAGCATTACCTATGAGTAGTTGTATTTACTAGTTGTCTGCTGTGTGAGGCACTGGGGGGCACACAGACCTCTTGGTCTTAGGGAGCAAACAGTGTCCCCAAATCATGCTCTACCACTGGTGACGTGTGTAAAGGGACTGGGAACGGTTTGAGGTAGTGACCAGCTGAGAGTTTTTATTTTAATAGTTACATGTTTGTTACAAAATGCCTGATGAAAAATTTCAAACACATGAGGAGACTGGACCAGTGGGGCCCTCCCCCCGTCACCCAGATTTAGTGTTACAAGGTTTTCCCCACATTGATCTCTCCCTTTTCTCTTTGCTGACTGTTTTGAAGCAAATCCCCAGCATCTTGTCATTTGGCCCCCACGCATTTCGGTATGCCTCTTTTTGGACATTTTAACCAAAATGCCATGAGCACATCTAACAAAACTTCCTGTCACCTGGATGCCCAGAGCACGGCCATCCCTGCAGTTCCTCGGCAGGTCTGTGGACCGCTGGTTTGCTGGAACCCAGCTCCACACGTGTCCCACATGCTGTGTGTGTTTGTTAGGCCTCTGAAGTCTCCCTTCTAGGTCCTTCTCAAAGTCCTGTAGAGTGTTTGAACCCCCACCCCCCCCAACCCCATGTTCTCGGTTTGCCTATTTGTTTCTTTATGTTGTTATTTAACTTGTTCCTCTGTCCTCAGATGTCCTGCAAATGGAAGTTAGTTCTAGAGGCTTAATAATATGCAGGCCCAAGCTCTATGTTTGTTAGTATGTATTAGGTAAAACTAAAGCCAATTTAACCCATTCATATCCCTGGATTGCTGTTACCGATAAGGCTCATTTAAAAAGCGAGTGATTTAATAGAAAGTAGATTAAGTAACTCATGGTACCGGTGGTACCAAGGCTTGGCAAAACCCGTGCAGGCGCCCCTGGCTGGCGGATGACTGGAACCTCTCCCAGGGGTGTGAAGGGATGGTCCTCCTGGGGGAGAGGGGCGGCCTGTGATGAGCCCCCCGCCCCCGCCTTCTTCCAGGGAAGGCGGCCCAGGCCCTGAACCGCCGGCACAGCCAGCACATCCGGGAGCTGGAGCAGGACGCAGAACAGGTGCGGGCTGAGCTGAGTGAAAGCCAGAGGCAGCTGCGGGAGCTCGAGGGCAGGGAGCCTCAGGACGCTGGCGAGCGCTCCCAGCTCCAGGAGTTCCGCAAGAGGGTCGCTGCCGCCCAGAGCCAGGTGCAGGTCAGTGTTGGGACCCCGGGGTGGCGGCTGGAGTCCTGGGATCGAGACACGTGGGTCCCAGGGTCCAAGTTCACTGGAACCTGTGGATGTTCAGGCCCTTGTGCCCCCAGCTTCCGGCTGGTTTGGTGAACACCCTCCCGGCCTCCCAGGGTGAGGCTGGTGTTACACAGAAGTTGGCAGCCTGGGGAGTCGGCTCAGCTTTAAGCACGGCAGAGGCAGGGAGGCCAGTCCTGCCTGGAGACCAGTGAGAGGGGAAGGGCGGGCATCGAAAGCAAGGTACCCATTCCTCATGCAACGGTCCCCTCCCAGTTCCCCAAGCACTTATCTCTCATTCCATCCAGCCTCTTTCTACCCATCCATCCATATGTCTGTCTCATCCATACACCTGTTTATCATTTTGTTGGTTCATAACCCCCTCTGCAGCTTCCCAGGTATAACCTGAAATGGGTCCCCACGCTTGGAGGGAGAAATGGAAGAGACAGCCACTCCAAGTGGGAAGGTGGCAGGTTTACTAAGCAAGGGAACTTGTCTTGGGTGCCCCTCTTTCTGCAGTGGGCTCTGAGCCATCAGCAGGGGGTCTGATGCACTTGGAGGTGGCTCCTTTGGTGGCTCTCTGGCTACAGTAGAGGCAGATGCCCCAGCAACAACGTAGGCGCATGTAAGAGAGAATGCACAATAAGACGCTGATTCCAAAATCCAGTGACAGCTTTTCCTAAGAGCCCCATGATTCGAACCACTGATTTAATAAGTTCCCGAGGCTGGGGGTTGGATCACTCAGGGCATTCACTTATGTCCTTATGTGATTTAATAAAGATCATACGTTAGCTGATACATCAGCTGCGAACACACCACATTGTTTGGATAGTGGCACCCAGGTGCCTCCTTGTGGAGTGATAATGTCTCAGGCCATCCTATTTTGGAGAATAGCTGTTCTCTTCAGAGACATTTCAGTGTTCGGTAACAACAGACTTTGTTGGCTATCATCTAAGGCTTGCTGGATGAATTCAGTAAGGGCTTCTATGTGTGCTGTAACCTCCAGGCCAGTGAAGGGAACCAAGATGGCAGCCACATCTTGGGTGGCTCAATTAAGCGTCTGCCTTCAGCTCAGGTCATGGTCATGGGTCCTGGAATTGAGCCCTGCGTCAGGCTCTCTGTTCAGCGGGGAGTCTGCTTCTCCCTCTCCCACTCCCCTCTGCTTGTGCTTTCTTGCTCACTGTCTCTCAAATAAATAAAGTCTTTGAGAAAAATAATAATACTGCAATAAACATAGGGGTGCTTATATCCTTTCGAATTAGTGTTTCCATTTTCTTTGGGTAAATACCGATTACTGGATCATCATATGGTATTTCTATTTTTAGTTTTTTGTGGACCCTCCATACCGCCTTCCATAGTGGCTATACTGATTTGCATTCCCAGCAACAGTTCATGAGGTTTCCTTCCCCAACCCCCCATCCTCACCAACACTTGTTATTTCTTGTCTTTTTTATTCTAGCCATTCTAACAAGCATGAGGTGATATCTCATTGCGGTTTTGATTTGCATTTCCCTGATGATGAGTGACTTTGAGCATCTTTTCGTGTGTGTGGGCCATCTGGAAGTCTTCTTTGGAGGAATGTCTGCTCATGTCTTCTGCCCATTTTTAATTGGATTATTTATCTTTTTGGGGTTGAGTTGTATAAATTCTTCATCTATTTTGGATACTCACCCCTTAATGGATATGTCATTTGCAAATATCTTCTCCCATTCCGTAGATTGCCTTTTAGTGTTGTTGATTGTTTCCTTTGCTGGGCAGAAGCTTTTTATTTTTGATGTAGTCCCAACAGTTTATTTCTGTTTCTAGTTCCCTTGCCTCAGGAGACCTATCTGGAAAAAAGTTGCTACAGCCGATGTCAGAGAAGTAACTGCCTATGCTCCCTTCTAGGATTTTTATGGTTTCAGGTCTCACATTTAGGTCCTTAACCCATTTATTTTTGTGTATGGTATAAGAGAGTGGTCCGGTTTCATTCTTTTGCAGGTAGCTGTCCAGTTTTCCCAACACCAATTGTTGAAGAGACTATCTTTTTCCCATTGGATATTCTTGCCTCCTTTGTCAAAAATTTACCCTATAAGCATGGTTTATTTCTGGGCTTTCTGTTTTGTTTTGTTGATCTATGTGTCTTTTTTTTTTTAAGATTTATTTATTTGAGAAAGTGCATGCCCAAATGGAAGGGGCAGAGGGAAAGGGAGAGAGAAATCCTCAAGCAGACTCCTCACTGAGTGGGGAGCCCAACACAGGGCCTGATCCCAGGACCCCGAGATCATGACCTGAGCCAAAAATCAAGAGTCAGACGCTTAACCCACTGAGCCACCCAGGCGCCCCTCTGTGTCTGTGTTTGTGCCAGTGCCATGCTGTTTTGATTACTACAGCTTGGTAACAACATGGAATCTGGGATTGTGATACCTCCAGCTTTTTCATTTTCAAGATTGTTTTGGCTATTTGGGGTCTTTTGGGTTTCCATACACATTTTAGGATTGTTTGTTCTAGCTCTGGGAGAAAGTCAGTTGGTATTTTGATAAGGATTGCATTAAATCTATAGATTGCTTTGGGTGGTGTGGACATTTTAACAATATTTGTTCATCCAACCCATGAGCATGGACTGTCTTTCCATTTGTGTCATCTTCAATGTCTTTCATCAGTGTCTTATAGTTTTCAGAGTACAAGCCTTTTACCTCCTTTGTTAGGTTTATTCCTAGATGTTTTATTATTTTTGGTGCAGTTGCAAATGGAATTGTTTTCTTAATTTCTCTTTCTGCTGCTTCATTATGAGTGTGAAGAACTGCAACAGATTTCTGTACATTGATTTTGTATCCTACAACTTTACTGAATTCATTTATCGGTTCTAGCAGGGTTTTTTTGGTGGAGTCTTTAGGGTTTTCTATATATAGTATGTCATCTGCGTATAGTGACAGTTTTACTTCTTTCTTACCAATTTGGATGTCTTTTATTTCTTTATGTTGTCAGATTGCTGTGGTTAGGACTTCCAGTACTATGTTGAATAAAAGTGGTGAGAGTGGACATCCTTGTTTTGTTCCTGACTTTAGGGGGAAAAGCTCTCAGTTTTTCACCGTTGAGTGTGATGTTAGCTGTGGGTTTATCATATATGGCCTTGATTATGTTGGGGTTTGTTCCCTCTGAACCTACTTTGTTGAGGGTTTTTATCCTGAATGGATGTTGTCAAATGCTTTTTCTGCATCTATTGAAATGATCGTATGGTTTTTATCCTTTCTTTTATTGAGGTGATGTAGCACATTGATATGCAAATATGGAACCACACCTGCATCCTGGGAATAGATTCCACTTGATCGTGGTGAATGATTTTTTTAATGTTATTGTTGGATTTGGTTTGCTAGTATTTTGTTGAGGATTTTTGCGTCTATGTTCATCAGAGATATTGGCCTGTAGTTCTCTTTTCTGGTAGTGTCTTTATCTGGGTTTAATATCATGGTAGTGCTGGCTTCATAGAATGGATTTTCCTTCTATTTTTTGGAATAGTTTGAGAACAATGGGTATTAACTCTTCTTTAAATGTTTGGTAGAGGGACGCCTGGGTGGCTCAGTCGGTTAAGCGTCTGACTCTTGATTTTTGGCTCAGGTCATGATCTCGGGGTCCTGGGATCAGACCCTGTGTTGGGCTCCCCACTCAGTGGGGCTTATGCTTGACTCCCTCTCCCTCTGCCCCTCCCCCTGTGCATGCTCTCTCTCTCTCTCTAAAATAAAATTTTTAGGGGTGCCTGGGTGGCTCAGTTGGTTAAGCGACTGCCTTAGGCTCAGGTCATGATCCTGGAGTCCCAGGATCGAGTCCCGCATCGGGCTCCCTGCTCAGCAGGGAGTCTGCTTCTCCCTCTAACCCTCCCCCCTCTCATGTGCACGCGCGCTCTCTCTCTCTCTCTCTCTCTCTGTCATTCTCTCTCAAATGAATAAATAAATAAAATCTTTAAAAAAAAGTTAAAAAAATAAAATCTTTAAAAATAAATAAACATCTGGTCCTGGACTTTTGTCGGTTGGGAGTTTTTTTGTTACCAGTTCAATTTCATTGCTGATAATTGGTCTGTTCAAATTTTCTATTCCCGGTTCGGTTTTGGGAGGTTATGTTTCTAGGAATTTATCCATTTCTTCTAGGTTGTTCAATTTGTTGGCATATTATTTTTCATAATATTCTCTTACAGTCCTTTGTATTTCTGTGCTGTTGGTTATTTCACTTTCATTTCTGATTTTGGGTCCCCCCCCCACTTTTTTTTAATAGGTTTGGCTAAAGGTTTATCAATTTTGTTGATCTTTTCAAGGAACCAGCTCCTGGTTTCATTGATCTGTTCTACTGTTTATTTGGTTTCTATATCACTTACTTCTGCTCTAATCTTTATTATTTCCTCCCTTCTGCTGGATTTGGGTTTTGTTTGTTCTTTTTCTAGCTCCTTTAGGTGTAAGGTTAGGTTGTTTGAGATTTTTTCTTGCTTCTTGAGGCCTGTATTGGTACAAATTTCCGTCTTAGAACTGCTTTGGCTGCATCCCAAAGATTTTGGGCCATTGTGTTTTCATTTTCATTTGTCTCTGTGTATGTTTTGATTTCCTCTTTGATTTCTTGGTTGACCCATTCATTGTCTAGTAGCATATTTAACCTTTATGTATTTGTGCTCTTTCCAGATTTTCCTTGCGGTTGATTTGTCCCATTATCAGTATTGCTACCCTGGCTGTCTTTTCACATCCATTTGCTTGATGAATGGTCTCCATCCCCTCACTTTAGATCTGTAGTTGTCTTTCGGTCTGAAATGAGTCTCTCGTAGGCAGCATATAGATGGGTCTTATTTTTTATCCTGTCACCCTATGTCTTTTGCTTGGAGCAGTTAGTCCGTTTACGGTCAAAGTAATTATTGATAGGTATGTACTTATTGCCATTTTGTTACTTGTTTGATGGTTGTTTTTCGTAGTTCCTCTTGGTTCCTTTATTCTCTTGCTTTCTTCTCT